ACCAACACACCTACAATGCGATGTACTCTGTCTCTCAACCGAACAGACAAAACAAAGCCCTATATATATCCGATGTGCAATTACTAACTAAATCGGCCGCGAGGCTGGAGCGAGTTGGCATGCCTGCCTTCCTGTCACAGGGCCTCGCTTCTCCTGTCGTGGAAGCCAACTGACGACATGACGTTGAGGCACTCAAGGACGCTTCGCATGCACTCAGTGACTGTGTAGCTTTGTGTCTCATTATGACTTTGGTCTGGGTCCGTCATTGATTAATTGTGTGCCTTTGCTCGCCAATGTATCGTTGCAGCGAGACAAGAGGCGTTTGTACGCAATGCACAAATGGAAGCGCTCAATTTGATGTGGTACATATGTGGTCGCGGCGGGCCAGCCAAGCGCCTGCCGTCTGCCTGTTTATACCCTCCGACCGCCTCCTGTACGTTGAGGTCCGTCTTCATGAACGATGGGAGAGGGAGGGAGACCAAGGACGGGCTGGCTTGGTGGTGGTGTGTGAATGAATGAAGCCGCCGACCGAATGCAATACAGAAAGACTGTTCCCCTGCTGGCTGCGTTGTGTTTGTGATGTGGACCGATCGATTGGACAATGCAGACATGGCATGGATCAACCACGGGTTAGACAAGGGCGCTTGACTTGAAAGACACGCAAAAGGGTCCACACGCACACACAGTGTCACACACACACACACATGCACACACACACACGACATGCAGCAGTCTCTGTCTGCGCACCACGGCACATACATGCTCGCACATGGAAGCACGTCGATTGATATGGACTACGTCTGTCGGGCTGTCTGTCGGGTTGTCTATCGGTGGTGGTGTGTCTGTCAGTGGGGCAGTCAGTCAGTCTGGTGGTCTCTACGCTCGGTATCTACTCGCTGTCTACGCTGGCTGTCTGCTTGTCGCTGTCTGTCTACTCGGCGAGGCCCGGGATGCCCCCCAGCTCTGCCCACCTCTCCTCCATCTCCTCCAGCCCTTCCTGGATGTCCTGTTGGCGGATGACGGCCTCGTAGTAGTGCTTCACTGCCTCTCAAGCGCCCACTGCTGCTCCCATTCCCGGTGCTCCTCCTCAGCGCGGAGCTGGGCAGCGTCGCCGGCAAACCGCAGGGGCTCCACCTGCTGCAGCTGTTTGCCGCCGTCCAGCGCGACGGCGAGCTTTTGACGGCGGCGTTGCTCCTCGACGTTGATGAGGATGTAAAGGCTGCCGAGGACCTGCAGCGCACCACACAGCAGACAGACAGACAGACGGACGGACAGAGGGCGAGACACGGAGACATGAGAAGTGCGTGCTGGTCTATGTGAGCTGAACACGTGCTCTGCTCACCGCTCCGGCTCCCGCTAGAAGAAACCACCAAATGGCACCTCCTGCCGTCTCCGGCTTGCGGAGGTGGGGGGAAGCTGTCGCCATGGCTGCTCCTTGGGTGGTGGTCCGCGCCTGTCGCTTGCGGAGGTGGGGGGAAGCCGTCGCCATGGCTGCTCCTTGGGTGGCCATCCGCGCCTCTTTGTTCTGAGCGAGACAGATATTGACCAGAGGCATGAGCGCGTGTCTGTGTCTGTTCGTCTTCTCTTATCCCTGTGTCGACGATGCTCCTTGGGTGGCCATCCGCGCCTCTTTGTTCTGAGCGAGACAGATATTGACCAGAGGCATGAGCGCGTGTCTGTGTCTGTTCGTCTTCTCTTCTCCCTGTGTCGACGATGCTCCTTGGGTCCGCGTCGGTTGCGGTGCCACCTCTTCTACCTCGCTGGCGTTGTCGTGCTTGGTCTCGGACTCGCTCGCCACTACCCCCCCGCCGGTGTTGTTCTGGTCGGTCTTGGTCTACTCCGCTCTCGCCGGCGCCAGCAGCAACAGGATGATGAAGGCGATGGTCTTCATGGTCCGCGGTGCTGTGTGCTTTTCGCTCTCTCGTCTGTTTGGCATACGCTGCTCTTTCGGTTACCTGGGAAACAGCGCAAGGAGAAAGAAACAGGGAAACCATTTTGATCTCTGTCTCCGTCTCGTCGTAAATTCTCGACAGTCTTTTTATTTTGTCGCGAGCGCGGCTATGTTATCGGCAGGCGCACACGAGCAGGTATGCATTAATTCATGAAGGACCACACACTTGCACAATTAACTAAGGAAAAACCACACGTCAATTAAGGCGTGTCGTCCACTGCGTGTGGGGAGGAGTGCTTGACTGTACAGACATTCTCTTCCCATCAAGCATGTATGCATTCGTGCATCTCAGTCTGTCCATGCATGTGTATGTCTCCCTCCCTCCCTCCCCTGCACCCTTGAATGAATGCCTGGTTGTATCTACCTAGCTACTTCTTCCTCTGCTTGAATATCCAGTGTTTGCTCTCCTCGTGTTTCTCCTTCTTGGCTGCTGGCGCCTTCTGCTTACCCTTCTCGAAGTACACCACACCCGGATCAGCACCTGCACGCATCAACCAACCAATGAACCAACCAACCAATTAATGCGACGGCCAATACGACGAACCGACATACATCACACACGTGTGCGTGGGAGTGGTACACACCTGAGAGTATGGAGAGGTTGGCCTTTCGCACACTGACACCCGCTGGCTTCGCCCCAGCCGCCGGCACATCACTGAGACGGACACACACACACACACACACGCCCACACCGTCGGTCGATGTCGTGTCTGGTGGATTTATGCATTCTTACGTTCCGCCGAGCATGACATCGTCATCTTCGATGTCGTCGAGTGTGTCGTCGCTGGCGAGTATCTGCGCCAGTATGTCGAACTGCGTCTTGGGGTTGTCGAACATCAAATCCTCGCCAGCCATGTGGCTCTCGAAATTGTTCCACGTTATCACCTTGTACGCATACCCCTACACACATATCAACACACCGAGAGAGAGTGAGAGGGGAACGGTGTGTGTGGCTGTGTGCCGATCGATGATCGGGACATCCTGACCTGGTCGATGATGAACTGCTGCCTCTTGTCGGCGAAGTACATCTCTTGTGTGTCTTTGCTGACGAGAGAGTAGAAGAAGGCGTTGAACTCCTCCCCCTCGCTCTTGGGCTTCGGCCGCAAGATGCGGCCCAAACGCTGCGCCTCCTGACGCCTGCACACCAACACACATGGCCGGCCATCGAATGTGAATAACCAGGTTGGCTGTCTGTGTGCCTGTCTGACGTACCTTGACCCCGAGTTGAATGATATTTGTATGATGACTGTTGCACACGGGATATCGATGGCATTGTCGCCCACCTTGGACAGAAAGATCGTGCTGAACTGGGACTCATTCTGATATGACACACACACAGCCACATCAGTAAGGCACACATAAACAAACGATACATACATAGACGAGCGCGTGTTGTGTGTGGCTTGCCTGGAATCTGTTGAGAATGAGTAGCCGTTCGTTCATGGGAACGTCGCCGCAGATGAAAGGCTTCTTGAGGACCTGGGATGCGTACTGGAGTGCGAACAGGTTGTCGGAGAAGACGATGCACTTGTCGCCCCGCGACTCGTGGAACTTGAGCAGGTACTCACACAGACGCAGCTTGTTGGGGTTGCACACCCACAGCTTCCGACGCTTCGCCGCAGACGCCTGCAAATCAGGGCAGGGCAGACAAATGGAAAGACGGATGAGATGAACACACACGTACCGTACGTACATGCATACGTGCCGCCTACAGTGAGGTATTCTCTGAAGTATTCCTTGGCCATGGGGCACCACACCTCAATGCACTGAACCTTGGCCAGAAAACCCTGCACACAACACAACACACACGCGAGCCAGCCATGCCAGCCAGCATTGCCATCCGTATTTGTCTGATCGGACTTACGGCTTCCTGTAGTTCCAGCCAGTTGGCTTCGTACAGTTTGGGCCCGATGAGCCACTGCAGGTCGTGGATGAGGTCGTCCTCACGCACCAATGTGGCCGTCAAACCAACCTTGCAGTGAGACTTGACAATCGAACACACCTAAACAAGCAATCCGCATTCGTACACATAAGATGAAGGAAGGAACGCTTGGTTGGGTGCGGTGCCCACCGTCCTGAACGACTTCGCTGGAGCGAATTGCACTTCGTCGAGTATCTGTAGGCCCCATTCGCGGTTTTTGATCTGCAGCATCACACGGGACGACACCTCAGACCTGACAACGCATGGCACGTTCACAGACAGCAGCAAACCAGGAGGGATGAGGGAGGGCCGCTGTGCCATTCATTGCTTGTGCGTGTATCGGTAGGTACCTCTTGCCCCTGAAGGACATCATGGTGTATGTCGATATCAACACGCCGCCGTCCTCAGGCAAGTCCTGCACACAGACAGACACCAGCAAGTGAAAGGGGCTCCTCATGTGACACTGTGTAGTGGTGATGTTTGTCCTCTGACCTGTTTGTTCTCGGCGGTGAGGGTGCGGATCTTCTCTGGCGGGATGGTCGTGAACTGCTCAAACTGACGCTTCCACTGATCCACAGCGACTGAATCAGCCCACAGCGACCAACACACCATGAGGCACACGAGTGTGTCGATAGTCTGCCTGTCTATCTGTCTGTCTGTGTGGCTGACCTGCCGTGGATGTGAGGACGACAGTCGACTTCCTCATGGTGCATGCAGCGGTGATGCCCACGAGCGTCTTGCCGGCGCCACACGGCAGCACTATGATGCCGGAACGAGCACGGCCGTTGCCGAACATCTTCCGCAAAGCCCGCTCCTGCACACACACACACACACACACCAATGAATACATACAGATGCAGACACGTCAGTAGCGGAGGTCGGACCTGATAGTATCTGATTTGCGTTGACGGCCTCAGCGCCATCGCGATGTCGGGATTCTTCTTGTCGTGCCTGACAAACACAGACACGCAGCGCAGAACCTCTCCCATCCACTCACTGCTCATCCACCGCCCTCCCGTTTGTTTCCCCTTGGCACTTGAAGTCATATTCCTCGATGAGTGGCCTCTGCAGGCTCTTGAGGGCGGCTTCCTTGACCTCCCCAATGCAGTCGGCCTTGACCTCGAAACTGTACATCTTCTGACGCACGCCACCTGGGGCGCCCTCGCCGCTGCCTGACGGCACGGGCGGGGGCGGCATCGCCTGCGCGTCAGCCGCTGCTGCCGCTGATGGGGAGGGGTTGGGGGGCTTGGGTGGGGAGGGGGCCGGCTGGCTCCACGACGCCTGGTCGCCGCCCGATGACGTCAACTTGAAACCTACTCACACAGCCACGAAAGGAACGGCGCATGAGAGTCTCTCAGGTGGTCAGGTGGCATCGCTTCCTCGGCCGCATACCAAGTTGCGTTGGGTCGAGGACGGGCGCGTCTGTCTCGATGAGGCCGCCGGTCCCGCCGCCCGTCCGCATCTGAGAGCTGGACGAACCGCTCACAGCCCTAAGGAACCAGCCAACACGCAGATGCCGTGCTGCTTCTGTCCTTCCGTCGCAATGAACTCTTTGTCTTTTTACGTCGATTGCCCTGAGGGCTGCGCAGCAGCTGAGGCCTGCTGTTGCTGCTGTCCTGCGGCTAGCCCGCCCCCCAGGCCGCCGACCCCACCCGTGGCACCACCAGCCGACTGTGTGGGCAGCCTCTGAACGTACAACAGACATTAGCATGCAGATTCGTGTGCTGTCAGCCACCTTGTGCAGTCTCTGCACCGGTGCTTGCGTCTTGCGTGCTCTGGCGATTGTCTCGTCCTTGAGGAAGAGCTCAAGCAACGCCTTGTCGTTTGCTTCGATGAAGTAGCCGTTGTCGCGGAGTACCAGCCGCACCTTGCCGAATGCCTCGCCATACTGCATGACTATGCTCCGCAGCTCCTTGGGCACCTCGTGCTTGCAAAACTTCTCAAGGGTCGACAGAATCTGCTCTGTGGGGGGAGGGAGGGAGGGAGGGGACCGACCCACAAACCAAGAGGCGAGTGCAGTTAGATAGCGTGTAATTGGCCGGCTCGCTGACCTGCGCTGATTCCGACAGAGACAGCCGCGTACAGCGAGAAGACGGTGAGCTGGAACTCGTGGATGTCCTCTGGCCGACTGATGGGCTCAGCCACCGCCACAAGGAAATCAGACGCCTGTCGGTGGCAGCGCACAACCAAGCACAAAACACAACATCATTCACCAGTGGGTGGTCAGAATGGCTAGCCTGTCGTGTGCTGCTGCCTCTGTCTGTCTGTCTGTCTGTCTGTCTGTGTACCTACCTCTTTTTTGAGTGCCGAGAAGAACTCCATGTAGATGTGTCCCTCGGGCGTGACCCAGAGCGGCCGGTTGATGTGGTCGACCTTGAGCGAGGACGTCTGCGGGATGAAGTTTCTCATGTCGTCCAGCCCGCCCTGGTTCTCGTACATGGTCGAGTCGGCCGCGAAGGGCAGCCCCCTCTCCCCCTGACGCACCGACTTGCCCGTGATGTTGATAAGCTTGTTGCCCACATCCTTGTCCCTCTTGCCCTTCCTGCTGCGCTTGCTGGACTTGCGCTCGCCCTCATACTCCTCGTCGTCGTCATCCATGTACTCGTCATCGTCGTCGAGCTCATCGCCATCGACGCGGCTGCCGCGGCCAGCGGGCGTCGCATCGTCGTCTTGGTCGCGGTGATGGTGCTTCTTCCGGCGCTTCTCTGACCTCTCGGACTTGTCGGATCTGTGCTTCTTCTTCTTGTGCTTCCTGTGCTTGCGCTTCTTCTCACCAGACGCACCGGTGGCATCGATGTCCATGGGTGGTGCAGCGGGGGGCACTGCCTGCCCGACGGCCGGAGGAGCCTCGGCTGTCGTCATGCTCCCAACGCTGCCTCTGAGCTAAGCTCGCAAACACGAGCTCGCAAGAGATTGAATGCATTCCGGGATGGGCGAGCAGCCGTGAATGCCATTACCAGCACAAGAGGAACGCCACTGAACTGGTGCGCTTTCCCCCTTGTTTTGTGAGTGTTTACAGGGAACTGGCCTTCCAGAGAGGCAGGAATAGGAAAAGGAATACACAGACCGAACGAAGCGCTTATATCGAACGAAGTGCTTCGAGAGACAAGGTCAGCATTCCCGTTGGCCATTTCCTTTCCTTGCGTCACCATGGGCTACATCTCCAAATTGTACGAGAACGGCAGCTGGTCCCCCACATGCAGCACCACGGCTGGTTCTGGCTGGTTCTGGCTCCCCCACCTCCTCTCTCGACAGCTACAGCTCCTACGAGGCGCAGCGCAACTGGGAGCTCCACCAGCAGCAGCTGGCGCAGCAGCGCCGCCAGGAAGAGGAGCATCAGCGTCGTCTTCGCGAGGAGGCCGAGCGGCAGCGCCAGATGCGTGAGAGGCACTACACCCGCTGCATCGGAGGCTAGCTCAACACGGGCGGGGCGATCATCCACCATACATGCCGACCGGGGAGAGGAGACGACACAAGCAAAAGAGACAAATGGGAAGATCAGATCGGTTGGGGTGTGTGTTTCTGGCTACGTGAGTATGGCTACATGAGTATGCGATCATGGGGTGAGTGATGAAGGATGAAGGTGTGTATGTTTCCGGGCTGGTTTGATGGGATGGACCGATTTTTCATGACACACAGCAGTGCAGTGGGATGGGGGGGGGGGGGGGGG